TACAAGTTCCCTTTGCAGGCACTTTCCTTTGCCCCTGCTTCTTCCCCCCTCTCCTCCAGCGCCACGCGATCCTCTCTGCCCGGGTGGGTCCGTGGGGGGACCCGCAGCCCATTCGCAGCGCAGCAGGGAGCGGGGGGGGCCGCGCGTGGCTCATCATCTGCAGCGCCCCTTGGCCCTAGAGCGGGGTCCTGGGTTCCCCTCCGGGCCCCCAGCGCAGCAGCTGCTGTTAATGCTGGAGCGTGTTTCCACTGGCAGCGCGGACCCTTGTTTGGCGTTTCCCACAGAGCCCCGATCCGTGTCTGTCTGGGGCTCATGGCTTTTCCTTTCTCAGTCTCCTCCAGCCCATGTTATTTCTACCCCTCAGTTACTGATAGCAACTCCCTGGGATTGCCAGAAAACAAGCCGCGTGTGTGTTTAATACCAGGAAATCATGGACCACACTTTGTTGCTGACAGTTTCAGCAGTGCCCTGGGCCAGCGCTTTCTGTCTGTGCTGCAGCTTCAGATCTTTGCTCATTGGGCCCATGTGATGTCCAGGCTGGGGCGGTTTCAAAACTCCTTCCCTTTCCTTTCATCCTCCAATGGAGGTGGCTTTGCCAGCTGCTGTTTTGCTTCTCCACCCAGCACTTTAGGGCTTTGTCACAGGTCACCACTTGGGTAGATCTTGGATCCCAAATACTCACTATGGGCCAGATTTGTAAATGTGAAAGTGCCTGGATACTTTAGTAATAGAGATGTAGCTGTGTTAGTCTGGTGTAGCTGAAGCAAAATGCAGGACTATGTAGCACTTTAAAGACTAGCAAGATGGTTTATTAGATGATGGGCTTTCGTGGGCCAGACCCACTGACAATGTATTAAAACCAGTGTTACTGTAGCACCTTAGAGACAGAGAAAAAAATAGGTAGTAGCATGAGCTTTCAAGGGCACAGCCCACTTCCTCAGAGGAGCAGTGGTCCTATGACAGTAGATTGTGCTCATGAAAGCTCAGGATACTATCTATAGACTTTTCTTAGTCACTGAGGTACTACAGGACCATTCATCCTTTTTAAAGTTCCACACTCGTACAGCTCCCCCGTGAGACGTCTTTCTGTAAGCAATTCCCTGTCCTGCAAACACAGAAGTGCGCGCTTTACTCTCCTCTTACTTTATGTGTTGCGAGTATAAATGTTGGGGTTTTTCCACATTTATCCGTACCTCTGATTGCATGTTTTAATGTCACAGATTTTCATATAGGTTACATCTACAGTTATGATACATTTGCTTGGTGCTCTTCCTTTTGACAAGCCTACACTGCTGTGTTGCCAGAATCCAAGATTTTGAAACCAATCATCCTTCTCTGCATTGGCTGGGTGTCTGGCCTAGTGCTGACCTGGCCCTCTCTCTCTTTTCCCCCTTTGTTTCTACAGGGCTACGTCTACACTGGCCCCTTTTCCGGAAGGGGCATGTAAATTTCATGAGTCGTCGTAGGGAAATCCGCGGGGGATTTAAATATCCCCCGCGGCATTTAAATAAAAATGTCCGCCGCTTTTTTCCGGCTTTTAAAAAAGCCGGAAAAGAGCATCTACACTGGCCCCGATCCTCCGGAAAAAGCGCCCTTTTCCGGAGGCTCTTATTCCTACTTCATTTCACGAGGAGTAACGGTAGTTCGAACTAGGAAACCTAGGGATTTAAATATCCCCCGCGGCATTTAAATAAAAATGTCCGCCGCTTTTTTCCGGCTTTTAAAAAAGCCGGAAAAGAGCGTCTAGACTGGCCCCGATCCTCCGGAAAAAGTGCCCTTTTCCGGAGGCTCTTATTCTTACTTCAAAGTGCCCTTACTTCCTCCGGAAAAGGGCGCTTTTTCCGGAGGATCGGGGCCAGTCTAGACGCTCTTTTCCGGCTTTTTTAAAAGCCGGAAAAAAGCGGCGGGCATTTTTATTTAAATGCCGCGGGGGATATTTAAATCCCCCGCGGATTTCCCTACGACGACTCATGAAATTTACATGCCCCTTCCGGAAAAGGGGCCAGTGTAGACGTAGCCCAGGAGAATAGCTAGTGCTCACACGTCACTCGTAAAACAGACATTTTCTTAGCACTGAGGACACAGACCAAAATGCTGACAGATGTAAAGTTAAACATTTTTATGACACCTCTGATACTGATTGTGGGGCTAACAGTGTGACTTTGCATCTAAATGGCTGCAGCTGCTCATATATGAAGTTGTTATGGAAAAGCAGAGCCAGGGACAGGTGTCTCTCTGAAAGGAACAGAAGGAGATTGACAGGGGTGGGTCTCAGGAGTTGTGTAGCTTGTTGCAGGATTTGAACCAGCACAGAAAAACCCTGTCAGATTTTTAGTCCAACTCCTTAACCATTCAGCCATCACAACTGTGAGCACAACAGTGTTCCAGGGCCAGGGAAACTGGTAACTAATCCCAGTGCCCAGGCCTGACCTCACCTGCCCCACAGAATTCACACAGCAAACCTGGCTCCCAGAGCACAGGGGGACTTTGGGGGCTCATTGCTGGGCTGTGGGGTGAAGCATCAAACCAGCCCCCTCCTGTGCGGCTGTGAGTGTTGCTGTCCCTGCTGACCAGACAGGGACATGGAGACAGGGAGAGGTTCACTGCATTGGCCAAGGTCACCCAGCGAGTTAGAGCCCAGCTCTGTCCCCAGCGTCCTGCCCCACCCACCGACGTACTGACTCCCTCGCTGCCAGGGGGCTGTTTGCATTGGCCTCTTTTCTCAGTAGCCAGGGCTAAGGCTGTCAGGCAGGAGAATGTGACCTGACTCCCTGCACCTGGGCCTTGTCTTTGTAGCAAAGACAGCAACAGTTACAGGCCCACAGGAGGGGGCTGGGTTGAACTTTCAGCCTTCACCTTACGGGACTCTCTGTTGAGGTGAGGACCAGGGAGGGGGGAGGCAGCAGCCCTCTAACAATGTCCCCAAGGGAGTGTCTGCAGGGCAAAGGAAACCAAGCTGAGGAGAACTGGAGGGAGTCCCTCCCCCCCCCCTCCGGGGTGTTAACCAGAGGGCTGAGCATCTCCAGTACCCAGGTTCCAAACTGTCCCACCTGGCTCCCAATCTGGCCCCTCCCCTGGCCGTGCTGCTGTGGGTGCCAGTGTCTCACCACATGGTGAAATCAGACCAGAGACAGACACTGTCAGTAAAGTCTCCTCTTGGAAACGCGCTTCCAGATGCTTGGCCTCCC